TATATATATATATATATATATATATATATATATATATATATATATATATATATATGTATGTGTGTATATATATATATACACACACACACACACTGCACTGCACGTTCCAAGAATTTATTACAGAAAAAGTAAGTTGACTGTTCACATTTTGACATAAATTCTGTAATGCCCAACTTAAATGCAGGAAATACGATCCAAACAACGTAAACCAAAGACATAATTCTTAAGAAAATTGATTGAAACTTATTTTATTTTCTACACAACTTGTGTTTTGCACCCGACACATCGGATGGTGGCATAGGCCCGCTTTCAAGGCCTTGGCAGTGGAATTTGTACCTTATTGAATTACGTTAAAAGAAAACTAAATCGGATACTGGGGAGTCTACTACATGCAATTGTCAGACCTCTGATTTTAGGACAAGTGCCTATTTAGTTCATTTAGAACGTTTGGGAAAATAATTATAGAAGTTTACGAATCATGCAAAAAATAATTCTACCGAAAGCATCTAATAGTGCCTAAAATGTCGTAAAAGGGCTGTTGATGCCTATTTTAATCCCCTCCCATAATCATCCTAAAACAACTAATTTCGATGAATTATATTTTAATTACTCCTTTTTTTAAATATGTTTTAACGAAACTCAAATACTTTCTCGAATTTCCGAAAACGTGAATAAGTCGACTACGCACCGAAATCTCTCACCCAACACATCCAACATAAGAGGCTCTGCAAGTCAATATAAAGAGTATGTTTCACGCTAGTCTCCGATCAATTTCTAAGCACTTCTTAGACAATTGAACCCATGCCCGGTGCAGCTGCGTTGTTGACAGTTTCAGATTGAAAACCGGTGAAAGTATGAAAGAAATGAAACTGAATAAAATAATGTGCTTGTCAGCCACTCCCATGAATGTAAAAATACTAGACTTTACTTGAAAAATAAAAAATTGAAGTTCCTAATTTAATCCTTTTATGATCATTTTTAGATGCCAGAAACATAACGTTTTATATCTAATGTTTTTTAAATTGCCTAGTTTAATGGTTTTGTAACCTATTTTAAGTGCCCAAGACGTCACTTTTCATGCTCAATTGCATACTTTTGTTACCTAGTTTAGGTGCCTAAACCGCCACTTTCTTGGGCCTAAAATTCCGAGGTCTAGTTGCGAATACGTCCCAGCCCTGATCGTTGGCTATGCTCGCGAGCTCCGGGAGGCACTGGCTTTGTAACGGACGTCGGCACTAATCGATAGCTCGCCCGCCGCCGCCTGCTATGCCCTCTCCGCGGGGATTTCGAGGTTCGCTGACCCACCCTGCAGTGATTGAGGGCTGCGAGCTGCATTTCGGAAATCTCACGTCCATCTTCTGTCACGCCGACATTTTTATTACTTGCTCGCTACGAAGTAGAGAGAAAGTTGTGCAATGCTGCGCAAAAAACGTATTACAGGGCCATGGTAACAAAAAAGCGGATAAATCCAGTTGCTAAATTGAGAAGAATGGTGATTATGATGGAATTAAGAGAATGGTGCAGGTCCCATGTTCGTTATTTTCGAAAATCCTGAAAGTTCAAAATTATTTCGACGTCTTCCTACGACTAAAATATTGAAGATAAGATTTTTTCCTTAATGAAATGTGTTTCTTAGAGAGTAATTTTGAAATAAGGTCATGTACAATTTTTCGAAAATTCTTTTCGCGTAATTATGCGTGAAAATACGTGCCGCTTTAGCACCGCTAGTTTAATTTACAGACTGGATGCCGTTGTTCTGACAGGGGCGAGGTGCAAGATAGTTTAAACCATAGCCCGCTAGTAGGCACACTAGCAGGCTTTGCTTAAACGGATTTACTCCAAGAAAAAGTTCTCCATTGTGTAACTTCTTAAATTTCTGGGTTTTGATATTTCCGTCTCTTGTTCTGAGATGAAAATTCCGATAGAGGTGGGGGCTCGTTTGCCAAGTAGTTTGAATTAAATTTTAAAAGCAGATTGTAAGGGCAGTGCCACAGAACTTTCGACACTTGCTAGACGGCTAGGTCGAGTTCAGTCGCTGCCTGGAGGAGACTATTTTACGTCGGCTGCTCTGATTGGTACAAAGTGTTCCGTGGTTTATTCGATCAATACCAGGCGAATGCCGGAGCAGTATTCTGACAAACGGGCCATGGTCCGCGTGCGGTCTTGTCTCTTCTTATATTCTCCTCTTGCACACTCCCCCCCTCCCCCCCACACACACACTCACTTGCATGCACTGCGCTCCCAAACGTGCAGGGAGCGTAGAGTTCATCTCAGTTTGGGGAGGTGCCCCTCTCTCATAGAGATAGTGCTCTTACGCTTTTGTGTCAAGTTCCCCTTAATAATGGTATAAAATTGCAATCCTTCCTTGGCGTATTATATACTGAATGGATATTTAATCACAATAAGACATTTTGACTGCAAATACCTACACTTTAGTGTGTAATTTCACCTCCCTAATATTTAGAAAACCTATTGTTTTCTCTTTTCTGTAATGGATTGAGGATATGAGTAGAGAAATATGGAAATCGTACGTGAAATTCAAGGAATACAACATTTCCAGTTTGAGTGGCATCAAAGTGTTTGAGAAAAAGGGCTGACCCTGTGCCCTTTCCACAGTCGGTCTCCGTTTCTCCACGAGGGGCGAATTAAAGCCGAGAGGATGAGAGAAACAAGTACAAAGGTTCGTCGAGGAATCATGACATTCTTTTTGGTGATCCCTGTTGCGTACCTGCATCTCTTCCGTGATCCGCGTTGGACAATAGGAAGACTTCTGAGAGGAAAAGACCTTCAGAATCCTATCTCTATCGGTATTTTTCGATCAGTTTCCCTTGATCCGTATAGCACAAGTGCTAAGATATGGCTGATTTGCTTCTGGGCATTTGGTATAGATTTTTCTCCCATCCCCACCACGCTATACGAATCTTTCTGAAGAATTATTTTTACATTTTCAACATTTTTTACTAGCACCGTCTGATCATTTTAAACGCTTGATACAATTACGTGGTTCGTTTAATATTGTCTCTGTAAACACATTGACGCTTAAAATTGCAAACCTTACTTTAATCTTAACATAAACTTTCTCGCCATTGCTACAATTAGTGACTTGTCCGAACCATTGCAGCAAAACTTTAGTTTAATGCGCCATACAACATCAAAAGAAACTTCTGTCTCATACGGTTGTCTTTATATAAGACTATATTTATAATATATTTATAATAACCTTTGCTGCTGCAAACATTTTGTGACCGTGTGGCGGAGGTTTCGGAAGTAGGTTGCATCTTATCAGTGCTCTATATTAAAAGAGGCGTTTCCTACGTTTTAAAGAAATAAGTTGAAACGGTATACTGTGAGACAAAATACAAAATTGCGTGAAAATTCATCTTTGGAGAAGCTGAAATTATGAACGGGTATAAAATCATTAATGATTATAGTGATATATAATAATCAATTGGATTGGAATATGGGATATTTAACTTCCCGGCATTTCTGTTTTCGTTTTTCCCCCCCAACAAGTGTGTTCCATCAAAAAAAAAAAAAAAAAAAAAAAAAAAAAAAAAGAATTGAACCAATGCAGTAATACATTTCGAAAGCTTAAGTCTTGTGAACTTCATGTTGGAAAGGTAAAACGAAGAGAACGAATAGATCGAATTTGTTTTTTTTTTCTCTTTGAGGTATGGCGTTGTGAAATATCTTTCCATGTAAAAAGAGAATGCACTTGTACTTTTTCCTCCTTCCATTGAGAATGCAGTTTTCGTCGAAGGAGGCCGTGAAAACCGCTTTTGAACATTTTTAGATCATGGCGTTTCATGAATGGTATGATTTTGATGAGACATAGAAACGTTGATCAGGCAAGAATTTGGGCATTTCCTCATCGATGTCTCTCGGAAAAAATTTACAAAAGCATTTTGGTATGGCAAATTTGACATATTGGTGGCATATTTGTTTCTAAATTTAGATAGTGTAAATGCCTTCTCTTCATTGTGGATTAATTCAATGCGTTTTTAACAGGTTCTTCACTTCAGGAGTTGTCGTCGATTAGAACATCACGTCGTCATAAGGGTTAGAAGCAACCTTTCTCATTGGCAGCGATAGTTTTACTTTATTATTGCACAAAAATAGCGATGTACACTCTTAGCCCATTACAATGCTGCCAGTCGCTATGGAAATGGCTACCCATCTGAGCCCTAAGGGTTCGGGCGTAGAATTCTTATGCAGCTCGGGGATGGAGGATTTTCGAGATACCGGAATGCCGCCTTTTTGGTATTTGCAATTTGTATGAATTTAAATCACGGTGACCCAATGAACGATCAGCCCGGCATGTAGACTCGTTCTTGTTGGTAACCTCTACTACCCCTAGCATCCAACAGTTCGTCGTCCTTGACGTGTTGTGCCCCGTAACGTGTCGGTGTGAAGATCTTAGGGCGTTCGCGCCCTCTGCCGAAATTACACATGTCGCGCATGAAATCCCACGGTTCCAAGCAAGGTATGTGTCAGTTAAAGCTGTAGTGATTTATGAAATCGGTATGCTCTGCCACTGTAAAAAGAAGCGAATTATGTAAGAGAAAGCATTGCAAGTTCAATATGACGTTCGTGTTAAGATATTACTTACAACGCCCAACAAAATATTGTAGGTAGGTGAATATCACTGACACTGTGTCTCTTCTAATTAGCTTGCACAAGCTTGTCTTACAATTTTCTCTCAAAACGTATGTAATTTGACTCCATTAACGTGTGGTGTAACTTACCCCACAGGCTGTGTGCGACTCGCATGAATTCCTGAGCTATGTCATACTTGATTATGTAGAGATACTAAATGTCATTCAAGTTTTCATTTGAGATTCATTTGTTCTATGGAGAATGCATTTTGTTTTATTATCCAATGTGTTTTTGACATTCAGAATATTTCTTAAAGAATGTTTAATTCATTGGTAAAGAATAAAGTATTTGTAATTGTAAATAAACTGTCATGTTCAATCAGTGGTTGCTAGATTGAGTTTTTTGAAGAAACTCCAAAGATTTTTAACAGTAATCTGAAGTTAATTGTTCATTTCCTCCTCACACTAAGTTCCACATAAAAACAAAGTAACACATAAAGGGGTTTGGTATACTCGTATGGACATTCCAGCTGAAGTACCGTATTTGTTAAGTATTTTCATTAACATTATTAAAATGGCTATATTCACATTTTAATTTCCATCGGGAGCTTTTTTTCCATTTGTAACTTGATACCTTTCTCTCCCCCTTTTGGATAAAAATCTTATGTGTAAATTTGCAACTGTCGAAAGAAAAAAATGAAGGCTGACTTTTGCATGGAAAGTTCTGTTGAATATGTTTTTTTTAAATGTTTCTTCATCTCTGTTTTTGTAGGCAAGGATGGTAGCAAGGTGACGACTGTAGTGGCAACTCCTGGCCAAGGCCCTGACCGGCCACAGGAGGTGTCATATACTGACACCAAGGTTATCGGCAATGGCAGCTTTGGCGTTGTGTACCAGGCAAAATTATGTGACACAGGCGAGCTGGTTGCAATCAAGAAAGTCTTACAGGACAAGAGGTTCAAGGTAAAATATATTTTATATTGTTTCATTTTTTTTTTTTTTTAATGCTTAATTTATTTGCAAATGAAGATTGTAATTATTTCAAATAATTAAAGTTTAACTAATTGTCCAATGAAAGGAGGGAGGATAAAATTTTCTTAACATTTTTGTGAGATATTGTAGTTTTTGATACAGACGATCATTGATTTTCTTCTTCTTCAAAGTTATATTCTTCAGTTTAAATATTTAAAAAGGTTTGAATATTACTGAATATTTGTTTATACATTTTTATTTGGGGAAATCTGTGCAAATATTGTTTACTTTCTTCAATTGTTGTTTTTATTTCTGCATTAGTAGGATGTGGCTTTGTGGAAATATTGTACTTGTTTTGAGCTGCACTAAGCAGCATGTTTTACAGTTGTGAATGATGTTCACTTCCTGTTTAAAAAATTTGATATTGATTTTATTTTTTAAACTCATTCAATCATTAGATTTCATAGAAGAGGTGTATTTTGAGATTAAATTTTCTCTTCAAATAGTCTTTTAATTTATCTCCTCCTTGATTCTATTTAGTCATAAATATTATACAGTAAATATTGGTATGACCGATAACACAGAATCATGAGTTTCATTGCTTAAAATATATTGTGAATATTTATGTGAATTGGCTTTAAATTGATAAAATTATTGTAGTTCAATGTTGAATTGGATCTCAAAATCTTACAAATATTACAGAATTGACCAATTTTGGCAATAATAGTATGTAAAAGTTATCAAAAAATTAAAATTATATCTGTAAATTATTTTATTATGTACTTGTTTTTATTCTAAGATCTCAGTAGGTATTATTTATTGTTTCTTTCATCAAGTGTAATAGATGATAATGCCCTAATTTTTTTGAAATAAATTAAGATTCTTTAAGTGTATTTATCAGTAAAATTTATCTTACTTAAATTTCGAAAATACTTTTTATTTCTTTTTTTCACTGGCTATTAGTTTCTATTAATGCCATTTTTCTTATTTGCTATGTTATCTATGGAATATACACTCTCCTTTTAAGATCCACAGTGAACCAATTTAATGATTCACAATTGCTTTCCCCTTGTTTATTTCAAATTCAAATTTAACATTATGTATTAATTAAATTGAAAGTAAAACACACATGTACAAATTTGCATTGAAAAAAAAAATTAAATATGTTTTATACCTGTAAATTTGTCTTGTAGCTCAGGTCTGCTGGTACTCTCTCAAATCTTTGTTTTATCAGTGACTCACTTGCATTTTATATTTTAATAAAGAATTCATGTTTATAATTTCTGTAGTGTTTAGGGTATGTAATTTTTGTACATATATAGAATCAAGAACCTAAAGTGTTCATGATGTCTGATTAGGTTTGATATGGTGTTGTTGGTGTGTGTCTTGGGGGGGTCTTGTTTTTTTCTTTTTTTTTTCTCCATAGTGATTTTTTTTAATGTCCACCAGAAATATGTATTATATATTAATTTATATTTTAAATACGTATATATATATCTTTTGACATAGTTATTTTTTTTTAAGGTCCACCACAATTCTATTAAGAATTGTGGAGAAAAGTGTAGAACCTATTATCTCCAATTACTGATTATTCTTACAAAATCAATCTTGTTAATATACAATTTTGGGCCAGAGGGTAAATATTGATAATATTCTATCCCCGAAAGGTTGGTTCAGAAATATGCACAATTCTGTGTCACTGTGCAGTTATAAATCTAAACTATTTTGAAAATGTACTAAATTAAAGAAGAAAATTCTTCTTTCTTTCTTTCTTTCTTTGAGATAAATTTTCATTTTTTTAATGAAAACATACATCCAACAAATTCTTAATTTTTTCATGCTTATTAGATATATGTTTTTGAATTAGGGTTCTGAAACTAAAGTGCTAATTCTTAGTGAGGTTGTATTATTAAAAAATGCAGTGAAATTATTACTTGACTTGCCTTGTCCTTCTAGGGTTGACAACTGTTGGATGTGATTATTACACGCCCTTCTGTGATGAATAAGGAATGTCTTCTAGTTCAAATGTCTGTTCTAATAATTTCCTGGGATAAATTTAATTCATTTTCCATTACAATTTCGATTCTTACTTTATTATATTCAGAACTGCATGCAGAATTTTTGTCTGGGAACTACAGGTTCCTGCTGCCTTGATGGGTGTTTTTATGGAGAATTTTTCATTTATGCTAAATATAAAAATATGTTTATTTGTTGACTTATTTCATTTGGATTTTTCTTGGCAGTTTTTAGTCTTAATACATTTCCAAATATTTTTAATAAATTGCATTTATAGTTTTATCCAGCTCAGCTCCCTTCAACATAACTTCATCTAGGTGGTGGAAATTAATTTTGAGATTTGACCCTAGCGGGGAAAAAAAAAATTGTCCAATCACAGCTTACACTTTTTGTTTTATACTTAAAATTGATTGCAGTATTGTTTGTTTATTTTTCTTTTACATGTTAGCGTTGACTCAGACTTTCATATTTGTAATGCTCATAAATCTCTTTCGTTAAAACAATTATTTGTATTTTGAATCATTATTCCTGATGTATTCATATTATGCTAGTGTTGTGTTGTCACAATGTTGATAATTCTACTGAACATAAGTGATACTGATAATTGTTGATTATTTTTCAGAACCGAGAATTGCAGATTATGCGGCGCTTAGAACATTGTAATATAGTGAAACTCAAGTACTTCTTCTACTCCAGTGGGGATAAGGTAAATATTTCTTCTAAATACTTCCCCACAGGGTAGGCAACTATAAAGTAATCTGTATTTTCTCTTGGGTTGTGCCCCTGGCTCAATTTAGGATATGTGTCTGCAAAGTGAGCAGTGTTTAGATTTGAATATTATCATAAAAAAGTGTCTGTGAAAGCACAAAAGATTAAATGAGATCATTCTAAAAACACTGATTGCTAGAAGCAAAATAATTATGAACATTTTTCTGAGAAAAGTCTGAATCCAGGATCTACTACTTCAGATCGTTAGTTATATTTTAATTCAATTTGCCAACTCGGTGAAATGGTTGTTGTTGTTGTGTTTTTTTTCTTTTTTTTTTTTTTTTTTTTTTTTTTTTTTTTTTTCTTCTTCTTCTTCTTCTTCTTCTTCTTCTTCTTCTTCTTCTTCTTCTTCTTCTTCTTCTTCTTAAAATTTATTTTAGAGAATGTAAATGCATTCTATCAATTGCCTCTTTTATTTAGTAGCAGTTCTATTAGAATGTCTGGCAATTACATGTATTGCAAAAAAATATTCCTGTAATGAGTAGTTAATGTAAACTTATTCCTAGTGGATTAATTGTCAGTAGAGAAAAAAATATGTGAATGATGTGAAGTTAACCTTGAATAAGTAACAATCTTGGATTATTATTCTTGCTTGTCTGATAATTTTTATGAAGATAAGAGGTAATTTCTAAGTTGGTATCACAAAGGTAAAAATAAAAATAAACAGAGAACTTGTGACTGTACTTGCAAATTAATGTTTTTCAGTGAGGGATCTTTGTCTTGTGAATTATGTTGCTTTCAAATTGAAGATATTTTTTATGTACTCTGAAATATGTTGTTATCAATAAAATAAAATAAAATAAAAAGTCTTGCCATTACAGTGTACAGTTTTACAGTGCATTTCTTATAGCTTGCTTACTTAGTTTTGGTAATGTTTCATTTGCAGAAGGATGAGGTGTACTTGAATCTTGTGCTGGAGTACATCCCAGAGACTGTGTACAAAGTTGCTAGACATTACAGTAAATCTAAGCAGACTATACCTATTAGTTTTATAAAGGTAAGTTTTTTTGTAGTTGGAAATTATGTACTATATGTTCCAAAAAAATATGGATAGAAAATATTTTGTACTTTTTAATTTTCAAATGGAAGTTTAGTGAGGTCAGTAATACTGATGTCATGAAAAAGAATTGACAGACAATTTAGGAAGAATGATTTCTTTTCAAAGAAACAGCTTCTTACAGTTCAGAAAGGAATGTTTTCTGATATGATTTTCAGTTCACAATAATGAGATGTAACTTTTAGAGTTTAGTTCATACTATTTGTATTCACTGCTTATATGTAATAGAGCAGATATAGCTAATTCTTTAACTTAAATTGTTTACAGTTGTACATGTACCAGCTGTTTCGGAGCCTGGCTTACATCCACTCATTGGGTATTTGTCACCGGGACATCAAGCCTCAAAACCTCCTCCTAGACCCTGAGACTGGAGTGCTGAAGCTCTGTGATTTTGGCAGTGCCAAGCATCTGGTGAAAGGCGAACCTAATGTATCATACATCTGCTCTCGGTACTACCGAGCTCCTGAGCTCATCTTTGGAGCTATAGATTACACTACCAAGATAGGTAAGACTTTTTCCTGAAGCATTTTCTAATCTACGGTTTTCTTTATGTTGTAAAGGCTTCTCGATCATGCCTTTTACGGTGTTAAGCATAGTATACAACATAGCTCATTCTCCAGTTCTGTTAAGTGTTTGAAAGTAATAGTGTTCTTGGAGTCAGTGAGTCCGATAAATAGAAGCCTTCTTCATGGCTAATTTTGTTTTCCCAGGCTTCAAAATAGTGATGCCAGGTGACTTAAGTGTGAAGAAACAGAGCCAACTGTGAAGCACCTTTGTTATTGCACATGCGCTCATTAATGTACTCGCACGTACACCCATTAATGTACTCGCCCCTGCACTCATTCAGATAAATGAGCTAGGATTGTCAAAAATGTGTGCCTGTTTAAAATTTGTTTTGACATCTTTGCTTCTGGCCATCATGACTGATGGGCCATTAGTTTCTGAGAAAGGAGTAGCGCAATCATTAGGGACCAAATTTATATGCACTAATAATCTATGAAATATATTTGCATTTATGCAGTAAATATTTTGTAAAAATTAGGATTTATAGGGCACATTTTCACACAGTATATTCATGCAACACTGTACTCTTTCTGGACCACTCAATGAAATTTTGAGAAATGCCATTAATAAATAGTAATTACTGAATGTAGTATTAGTTTCCACAATGGAATATGTGTACTACCGCTACGTACATTTAACAATTAGTATTAGAAACATATTTAAAAACCACCATAAACACAAATTTAAGGAAAGTATTTTCTAAAGCTGCATAATATGCTATTTCCATTAATGAGAGAGGATGTAAGGATTTTGGAGCTTCAGAAAATATTTGCAGGTTGCACCCTTTTTCAGTATTTTAAATGTTATAAAAAAAAACTTCTTTTTTTAATTAAAATTGTTTGTGTAATTAATAGTGCAAAATAAGTGAAAAAAAATTTTTTCCATAGATCAGTTTCAGCATTATATCTGAATTTTAATGAAAGAAGCATGAAACACTACATTTACCTTCAGAGACCTGTGCAAATTTACAGAGTACTGAAGGGGTATATTTTGGACCCTATTTGTTTATTATTTATCCAATCATTATTTTTACTCTAAATTGATTATAATAGTTTTCTTCAATATTTATTATTATTATTATTATTATCATTATTGTTTTTATTTATTTGTGTCAAATTTATAATTAGTTACAAGACTGTATTTACATGTACATTTATTGAAAAATTAAAAAAGTCTTCACACACGTAATGTACTTGCTGTTTATCATTTTTGGCACTGTTATATAACTTGTTGGAATACTTACGGGACATACAATTTTTCAGAGGAAAATTCATTTTCAGAAAAAAAAGTTATTGAATTTTTTAATACATTAGGAGATAATATTCAGCTAGAAACAAAAACATATGTGCAGTTAGTAATATTAACTGAAATAAATGACAAAAGTATGTCCTGGGGTACAAAATAAACCCCCTTAGGCCTTTTATGGTTAATAAATTTGTCAATTTTGTTCAGATGTATGGAGTGCTGGATGTGTGCTAGCTGAACTATTACTGGGTCAACCTATCTTCCCTGGCGACTCTGGTGTTGACCAGCTGGTGGAGATCATTAAAGTGCTGGGTACACCCACCCGTGAACAAATTCGGGAGATGAATCCCAATTACACCGAATTCAAGTTCCCTCAAATCAAGTCCCATCCTTGGCAAAAGGTGAGTAGAAAAAATGCTGTCCACAATTCAGGCAGCGGACTTTTATAGCATGTGTTCTGACAGACTCAGAGCAGTGGAGATTTTGAAGAAACTAATTATTCATTTTAATTAGCATGTTAATTAATTTCTTGTAATTCAGCTCTGCAATGTGTTACATAATTTGTGGGTGAAGTAGAGCACATTTATAAACAATGAATCTTTTCTTGTTACGCTGGCACAACAAATTTTTTTTGAAATGAACTTTAACGTTCGTTTCAATTGTAGCTGCTAAAATAAACATACTAATGGGAGCCAGATTAGATATTGACTTCCAGAAGGGGGCATATATATTATTTCGTTATTTTTTCATCGCATTTCATTTTTATATTTCCTCTTTCACTTTTCTTTTCTCTGTATATTTGTATCAACACTCTAAAAAACAGAATGCTTTGTAAACAAACTTGAAATGTACCCATTTATACATCTAGATGTGCCGTTTTATCATTGCAATTATAAAAGTTCTATGTAGAAAAAGGTATCTCAATATCTCATAATATTCTGTAACCAGACCACAATTGGTTATGAAGCAAACGTGAACTATCATTTTAATGTGGGCAATCACCATCCTATATTTCAGTTTTATTGGAGCTGTTTACTTGAGAACTAAGAATCCATACCGTTCACAAATTTTACATTTGCCAAGCAGAGGAATTGATTAGTGGTTTGAAGTGATAAAATCTATTAGTGGTTTTATTGCTAGTGTTTTACTGATTTTATTTTGCCTGGATGTGCTCTTAAAGTTTCTCAAAATAACTGTTCTTTGGGTAAATGTAATGCTGCTAACGGTAGGCAATTTTTGCAAAGAGTCATTTGCTAAGAATGTGTTAATTTTTTACTTATTAAATTAAAAATGCTCAAAAATATTTTGAACCTATTGTTAAAATGGTTAAAAAAGCATGTGTAAGAGCAGTTTATGAAATCATTGATCACTCAAAATCAAACCTTCATTTAGATTGAGAAACGTAGTGATAAAATCATTAAAATATTTGCAATATTGCTGCTACAAGTTCATCAGTTTCTCCAGGGACTCACACATTGCATTTGCAAGAACTGGAAATAAAAGTGTGGAAAAGGATAAACATGAAAATTTATTTTTTAATGCAACGAAAATATTTCTTAATCTTTTCTATCTTAAAATGGCCATCATAACCCCCATCATATTTGACATAATCTATCTGTTTATGCTGTGTAATATTGTTTAATTTGGCCTGGCTGCCGAGAGCTTGACTTCATTGGTAATTTTCAAAGCACTACTAGTGATGTTACTAACATATTATTTTCTGATTTATTACCTTGTGCTTTTAAAACTGGAGCAGTACATCTCTTCAATGAACACCTGTACATTTTATGCTGTTGGACCTTCAGGGTTGTCAGGGCCAGGGCTTGAAGTAATATTTTTGTTTGATTTGGAATTATGACTTGGCACTTCTATATACTCCTGAGTTTTGGGAGGAGGTATATTGGATCCAAATACTCCTGCCATTGCTGGTGTCTGCCCCCGTTGATTCTAGGTAACTGCTTTTTTGACAGCTGTGTGAGAATAAGTGTTTTAGTTGTGGTTTTGTATTGTCTGTCAAAATGTCGTTAACTTTGATGAAATCTTTCTTCAGTGAAGTTTTAGCAGCTTCCTGCACTTGCAATTATTTTCATTGCTGCAGACTGATATTTTTGAATATTTTTGTTAAAATTCTTTGAAAAACGGTTTAGTTAGTAAATACTTTTACAATAATTTAGCTAGATGTGTTTACAGATTCAGATGCCTAATTTTGTTTAGTTTTGAGCTTCGAAGCAATGTCGTTGAGTAAGATTGTAAATTACTAATTGCCTTGTAACTGTATTATACTTTTATAGAGGTATGCAGAATAATTAGTATCCATTCCATAGGTCAAGAAATGGCTAATTCTACTTGTAGTTCTCCTAGCTAACAAAACTTTGAACTCTGTTGAAATGACAATTATTTACATTTTACTGCAAAGATCATCAAAAGGGACACTGCGTCTGGAAGTGGAGGGAAACGTCTGGCTTGCAGTATTTGTTCTTTTAAAAGCTGATTGCACAATTTTTATTTCATACTACTTGGTTCGAAATGAAAGAGAAATTTTTCATTGCTCAGTGATTAGTTTCCCTTGTAATACAAGTTCTTGTTTTTCGAAAAACATTGAAATCGCGCAGGAATTTTATTTCATTCGCTCTTCAGCATGAAAAATTTTTATGGTATACCTTGAATATCTTGGTATATTCCCAAAGTCCCAATCAGAGAAAGAATGGAATCTTATATGTTCTGGATGGTTGATCGTGTTTAGAATTTCAATTTTCAACTTGCTAGATTTTGCATTTACATTCAGTGGTAACTGATGTTATCTGAAAAAGTAATTTCAGAAACCTCCATTTCAGCAGATTTAAAGTTCATCTGGAGGATTCTTTTTTAGAGTTCTACATTTTCTTCACAACTTCAGTTTTTAACGTTGTACTCTTTGGAGTGTTCCTCATTTTAAAATTTGTCATATAAAGAGAATTTACATTGATTACATTGATGGTTGTAAGAATTGCAGAAAGGCTTTGCATAACTTGCTGAAACATAACTTGTTTATAGATTATGTACAGGTTGTATAAATTTTCATGTCAAACTATTTTGTGAGTACTGTCAAGCATTGATGTGATTGTAGTAAAGTTGCCTAAATAATGTGCTTTTTATATTGTTGATTTTAACACCACTGTTCAAATTATTTTCATTCGGGAAGAAAACATCCTTGTAATAAATTTTCCTGTGTTTGTAATTACAAATACGACTTATGCATGTCGCATCAATACACAACCTGTACAAAGCTTGAAACATTTGATTTATACCTGAAATAAAGTTGTTTGAAATGGTTATTAGTACATTTTCGATTCCTTTTCACCCATCTCTGAAACATCTAAAACATCAAAAACAGTATTTTTATTTTTGTTCCAGAGTAATTGTTTAGTTATTGTATCTGTTGACAGGTTCTATAATTGAAAATTTCTTGCAAGTACCTGAACCTGTCAATATGATACCTGCAAGCCCAAGTCTGAAGTCTCAAAAAAAAAATTAAGATTTGTTCAATCTTACTGGTCAGGATTTCAAATACAAATTCATTAATTTTGACAAATAAAATCAATCATAAAATATGTTTTGTGATAGGGAACCAAATGTTTTTGAAACACATTTTAAGGAATTCTCATGTCATTTTGATGAGGATGTCTTGAACAATTGTTAAAACAAATTTATAAGCATATTGACAATTGTGTGCAGCAAGAAAACTATTCCATAGTTGTTTTCTCAAGACTGTAGGGGGAAAAGTAAGAAATGATGAATAAATACATCAGTTGTAACCTAATAAGCAATCGCAGCACAATACCTTAAATTCAGATGTGAATGCCAGGAAATCTCCAGAGTAAATACACAAAGTTTGTTCGTCGATTGGTTCACTGATGGTTGGACTTGGGCTTTTCCTTGCAGTGTTTGCTCCAGCGAATGTCTGTTCCCAAATGTTCCACTGATCACCAGAAAATTAGAGTAAGTAGGGTCTTGATGGTGTTTGTGTGTGTTTTTGCTTTGTCATTGAATTTCGTTCTCCTACCTCCATCCCATATAAAACATATTGATGAAATAAGTATTGCATTGAATGTAAGATGCTAATAGTGTTGGTTATGGAAGGTTTGGGGTAATGTTTTTTTTCCCCCCCCTCCCTTCTAATGTTCACCTTTGTCCAACAGGCTTTTCAGCATTGTAGTTACAGTATTTGAAGTTAGCAGTGTTGGAATTACTTTTGGTGTGGGAATTTATATTGTTCATCATCAAATAAAAATGTACTTTTCTAGGTGATTGATTCTTCTGTTGTGCTCGCCAAATTACTTTCTCAAGGAACATGATTTACATTGCTGGCAATGAAGAAATGAACATTCTGCTGCATTTTCCTTTTTTTGTATTCAAGATTTTTTTTGTAATCTTTATGGTTATCGTTATTTGGAACAAGTCTCTTATGCATTATTATGCAAGAGCTATGTGCAGATTTCGATGTTTTACTAGAAGTTCCTGAGATGTGATTTCTTTGGATTGGTGTCCAAGTTTTCATTTTAATTTAAGTAATATCAACTGAAATCTGCTCTCATTAAGAAGGGATGGAAGGGATGACAGTGTTGTCGTTGGAAGTAATCTTTTAAGGAAAGGACACTTCTCATTTATTCTAGAAAGCATTCGTGGTATATGATGATCGTTTACAAGGATGAAAATTGCCATATCATATGGCTTTGCTACATTATTTCAGTAACCGTTGGATTGATTTCGGAAGCAAGTAATATGCTTTTGTTTGATCCTTGATAAAAGCTGCCTGGGTCCTTTGTGAAATCAGCTGTTGCTTTAACTCCATGAATCCATTAGAAACGTTTGCTCTGAACCACTTTGAGTAGTGGATTACTAAGAAATAGATGTTCGTAATTACTTACTGGAGCTATATGAATAGTCACTGACTCCAGAGACGTCTCATTTGTGAATCATTTTTTCTCTTTTTGAATCTTTTGTTTGCTTAACTGCATTCAGATATTTGATTGCTGATTAATTGTATGGTACACATTATTGTGATCAGTCATATTAAGGTGTATCGTGTTTGAGATTAATATTAATGAAATAAGTAAGATTTTTTTTACTTTGAATCATTCTTCATTGTACAGGGATGAAAAATTTATGTTCTTTGCTTCTACAAAAGACATAATGACATTTGGTTGTGTAGATTGTTTGAAGATGTTAACTGACAACTAATTGGAAATACGAGTTATCTTAACAATGGGCATTTTTTAGGTAAAGAAAAACTTCTTTGTATAAACTTCTTGAGGTCATGCAAAATTTAGACACTCTTCACTATTTCTGCTGTCTCTTGTTTTGTTATTAAAAAGAAAGAAAGAGTGGGAGTAATGTATATAAATATCTTTATGCTTTCTCCAGATGACCTATTCATTAGTTTATGTTGATAGTCGCTAGAAAGCGTTGTTTTAATAATTCTATAAAACCTCAAACGTATGTTCAGCTGGCATTCTGACGTTAGATACGTAGAAAGTTAGTACGTAGTTAGACACGATACGTACCAAGAACGTTAATTGGCAAATTTTAAACATTTAGGAAATATTAAGGTTGAAAGAAATATTCAGATTTCCTAAATAATTGCTGCCTACATAGTGTCTTTTTAACCAGTTGAAGTTTTCATGTTCGTGGTGCCTATTAATATAAAAGTTGCCAATATAAACCTCTTGGACATTCTCGGCACCTGTGTGGAACAGTCAGCTTTATTTTTAGTATTGTGCAAGTCTGTGACTAATGTTGATTCTTTGAAGTCAGAGGAATTCAAATTCCTTTGAATCTGAGTGTTGTTTTGAACAGAACTTGTTATGAATATAAAGTACTGCCGTCCAAGACTGGCCTCTTTTTATTTCACATTGATACTTTCAGAAATTTTGAACTAATTCCAAACTTTCAATAAAAATGTATTCTTAACATTTGGAGTTCAAAATTTTGCTCTTGGAAAGGGAAACAAAGGCACTGAAACAGTGTTTTAAATAGAACTTATATCTTAATAATGCAAACATTAATTATGAAGGTAATTAAATTGCTTAGTATCTAATAAGCTTCAAGAGTTCATTATTTATTTGAATTTTATGGCATTAAAATAGTTTTTACAAAACTTTAGGTGAATAATCAATTGTAGAAACAACATACCACATCGGAGTTTATTTAACAATGTATGATTTCATTGTTGAAATTATATAAAAGCATACTGGCTTGTTGTGAATAATTTTATTTCATGCTATAATAATTATCTTTGCTTGAGTGAACATTTTTCATATGCAAACAGTTTTTGGTTGGATATGATTCACTTGGTGCAGGTAATGTACTGCGTTAAAATATGTACATCCACCCATTCAAGGCCAAAGATGGTCACTGCCCGTCCTCTGCCTCTCCATATCGTTCTGACCGAAGACGAGCTCTGCCATTTCTGAACTTTTTTGTTGTATTTCCACATTTTCACAGATTAGTTAAAAAGGAAAAAAAGTATTGGTTTCACAATATTCTGAATTAATTTGGACAATCAACTTATTCAATGCATTCAACCTTCAGAAATGCCTCTGATAAGAAAAGAACTCAATGTTTCGTAGTCCATTGCACTTGTAGAGTAAATTTAGGGATGAATAATCCCTCCTTCCAAGGCAAGACCCTCAAAAAAATATTAAATGTGTGCTTGAAGAGGAAAAAGAGCAGAGATGTGTATGAGTGTAAAAAGTGTTTGGCTCATTTACACATGGAAAATTGTTTCGAAATTTATCACACTGAAAATAAGTATTCACATTTCATTTTTAATAGTTTTTCATTCATATTAATTAATTATAAACATAGTGAAAGTACTACCTTGAAAAATTGAAATAAACCTTATTTATGTAAGACAATATAATAATTATTTTATATATTATTATAATTACTATTTAATATTATTATTTAATGCAGTAGTGTGCTGCTGGAATAAGTTCAGCCCAAGGGGTCACAACATTTTCAAAAAAATCTGTCTTGAATGGGTTAATGTACATTTCATATAACTCTTCATTTTAAAACTTGTTTTCATTGATTCACTGAAGGGCAATAATTATTAAATGCCACGTTGGCTCATTTTTATTTCAGATTATTAAGTAATTTTGAATAAATCAAAATCATATATTTGATATAGATGTATTAAACAATATATACATTTTTGATTCATAATTAATTTTTTTAGACAGCATTTTGTTGTATCTCGAGCACTTTTGAATAATTTGTGTATACATTTCCTGCAGGCTTTCTAAAGCCTAATTGTTTTGCTATCAAAATCCTTTTGGTATGTGTTATAAAATTGCTCATTGAATTCAATTCAGCTTACCAGTGTAACAAGACTTTTACTGAGTAGTTCTCAAGATTTGGTTTGGTTTTTGAATTTATTTTTTTCTTCTTTGTGTTTCTTTCCTTTTATTTATGTGTACCTGTTTTTATTTATTACTGTGTATGTGTTTCATGCAGGTTTTCCGTGCTCGCACGCCCCCTGAAGCCATTGATCTGGTGTCGCGATTGCTGGAGTACACCCCTTCATCGCGTATTTCCCCTCTGCAAGCTTGTGCGCATACATTCTTTGATGAACTGCGTGAAGCCAACACACGACTGCCCAATGGCCGTGACCTTCCACCATTATTCAACTTCACAGAGCATGGTGAGAATTTTTAAGTAGTTTCTTTTTCAAACACTGCTGACAGGCAATAGATAAGAGTTTGTATTAAAATATTCTTAGTTCACTTGTGTGTGCAAAACTTGTGTGTAGAGGTAAAAATAAAATGAGTATTTAATTTTTATTTTATTACAAATAAAATAGTATTTAGACAAGCTACCTACTGCAGCTGTCAAAGTAATGGCATTCATGTAATATATCATTGAGCCTGTAAAGAAACCTACAGGTTCCATTTGGGCTCCCATGCAGAATAAGCATATATGAAGTTTGCTTGTGTGCGCCAATCTAGTAGTAATGGGTGAATTGGCTAAGGAGGTAAAGAAGCCCTTCCCTTTAGGCGTCATAAATCCGGTCAAAAGGCTTCCTAAATAAAGCTGTCACCACCCACCTGCAGCCATTTGTTGTGGAACCAATTGGTTTTACCAGAGTAAATATTCCCTCTTTTCAGCAGTCTTTTGGTACAGCGACCATGCACATTTTGTATATTGGTCTTTTTCAAGTGGTACCTCAAGTGATTTTGAACTGTATTATTACAAGAAGCAAAAAAGCAGTGGAGATTGCTGTTAATTTAATATCTTCCTGTGATGGGACACAGTCAGATTACTTTAAACAGTGACAGCCACTGAAACTTATTTCAAAGGGGGATTTCTTTGTTTTAGGTAACAACAGACGACTTTAATAAATATCTTTTAATGAAACAAACACATTCGTTTCTATTTCACAATATTTGTGTGCTTTGCTGATTCCTTTTCCTTACCTACTTTTGTTTTGTAGCATAATTCTGTCCAGGGTCGGCAACACGCGGCAGCTGGCCGCTTGTGCAAACCGATTTTTAAAAAACTGTTGAATTCACGAACAGATCATTTTAACGGAGTTTACCTGTATCTGTGTTATTTGCAAGTATGCATCAACCTCCACTGGCCAAGCTTAAATTATTGTGCCTGGATCAAGCTCATTGTCATGAAACACTAATAAAAGAATTGAATTGCAATTTAATGTTGTAAATTAATTAAATTAAAAGTAAGTTTGAGATAATGTGCGACCTCGCAGGCTATTGGAGGTTTGACGACGTGGCCCCCGCTTCCACGAAGGTTGCAGACCCTTGAGGGGATATTTATGTGTGCGCAGAGTTGAGCATCCAGCCGGCACTCAACTCCG